TATAGAAAATAACAACACAAACTGATGGTAATGCCGGGGGGGGCGGGCGCCGGCGGGCCGCCGGGCGGCTAGCTCTGCTTGCTGGGCGCAATGGCTGTGCTGGGGGGGGGGGGGCGCCGGGCCGTCGGGCGGCTAGCTCTGCTTGCTGGGCGCAATGCCTCTGCCGTGGCGGGGGCGCCGGCGGCCGCCGGGCCGGCTTAGCAATCTGCTTTGCCTGGCGCAATGGCTGTGCTGGGGGGGGGGGCCGCCGGCGGGCGGTTAGCTCTGCTTGCTGGGCGCAATGCTGTGCGCGGGGGGGGGGCGCCGAGCGGCACCGGCGCGGCTAGCTCTGCTTGCTGGGCGCAATGCCTGTGCCGGCGGAGGACGGGGGCGCAATGCCTGTGCCGGCGGGGGGGGCGCCGGCGGGCCGCCATGGTCATCTCTCATATGCTGAGGTGCCACACCATTAAGACTAGTGTGAATGTCACAACGGAAAGTTTTTCCAAAGTCCACAAATTTTGGTGTCTACGGACTCGGCTCGTCACGCTGAGTAACAATGTCAGCCCAGCCTTGCTGAGTGCTCCTTCCGAAGGGCCGCCAATGGGCGGTCTCTCATATGCTGGCCGGGGACACGGTTAAATTTCTGTGTTTTTAAATCATTTCCAAAAATTTTCTCGAAAGTCCACAAATTTGGTGTCTTCGGACTCGGCTCGTCACGCCTGAGTAACATATGTCGTCGCGCTTCTGTCTGCTCCCTTTCAAGGTATAGGGTATGCCTCTGCGTAAGGTCTCCGAGCCGCTTGCTGGGTGAATGTCACAACGAAAAATTTTGTCCAAAAGTCCCCACAATCCTTGGTGTCTCTATACGGCGTCGCTCGTACGACTGGTAACCATATGTCAGCCCAGCCCTTCTGAGTCCCCTTGCCCTTCCGAAGGCCGCAATGGGCGGTGCGTCTCTCATATGGTGGCCGGGGGATACACGGTTAAATTCTGTGTTTTAAATCATTTCCAAAAAATTTTGAGTCCGAAGGTCCACAAATTTGGTGTCTATAGGACATCTCGCTTCTGTCAACGCGCTTAGTAACATAATATGTCAGTTCCCAGGCCTCCTAAGTCGCTCACCCTTTCCAGAGAGCATTGGTCGATGCTCTCAAGTAGTGTGAAACTTGAGACCTCGCTGTGGTGAGGTCACAACGGAGAGTTTTGTCAAAAGTCCCACAAGTTTGGTGGTCATAGGGGAGCGTCGGGGGGCGGTGGATCGCACGAGCTGAGTAACATAATGATGCGAGCCCGCGCGCCAGCCCGTTCTGAGTTGCGTGGCAGCCCATTCTTACGCAAGGGCCGCCATGGGCGGGTCTCTCATATGCTGCCCACGGGGGAACACGGTTGAAAATTCTGTTGTGTTTTGATTCATTTTCCCAAAAAAAATTTTCTCTCGAAAGTCTGCTACAGCCAATTGTGTCCTATCGGCTGGTGTCCACGCCTGAGTAAATATTCAGTGTCTAGTCCCTCCAAGGCGCATGATGTAGCTAAGTCCTCATTCTGATCCGCACATGTATGAGGAGAAAGAGCACAATAAGTGCACATGCGTGATAGGAAACAGTCTCCCGAGGCCGCTTGCTGAACGGGACGTCTAAAAGGAATTATTGATCCATAAAGTCCACAAAAATTGGGTGTCTTACGGACTCGGCTCGTCACGCTTCGTGGTAACATATGTCAGCCCAGCCTTCTGAAAGTTGCTCCCGTTCCGAAGGGCCGCAATGGGCGGTC